TTAAGAAGTCTTCTATGCATAGGAAACAAAACGTGCTCTTTAGAAGAAGACTTCTCGTTTTGGTTTCTCTGTTTTAAAGCTAGACGCTGCTAAGTACTATTTCCTGAGATAAATGGTCCTTATATTAGATGACAAAGAAGAACACAGAAGAAAAGTTGTATTTCTTTAGGAGGGCAACGCAGCCATGTAAGACCTCTGGCACCTGCACAACTAGCCCTGTTCCTGCAGAAGGGTTACGTTCACGCAGTAATTCTGTGCTGTTAAAAACGGGGCTGTCCCTACCCAGGGCTATTTAGTACAGAGCCTTCAACATAATGAAGGCTGTAACTTTATAGGGAGTTGGAGCAGTCTGAAGTACCGTGAGTGGTGCATTCCTGAAACTCTCCTATACCAGCGTAATGTCAACAGAAAAGGCTGAGTGGTGATGTAATGTCTGAGGGCATGCCAGAGTCAAGACACTTTTTGTTTGATTCACAGGGTACAAGTTATTTCTCCCCACCCCCCCTTTTTTAAAGCAGGCACCAAGCAGCAGTTTTCACAGCTACAAGTGCTGTAGAACCCCACATTACCTACACAGTGGGGAAAAAAATAAATAAATCAGCAAAACGATACCGCTCAGCACTGTGACACAGGCAACAGTACTTGAGCAAGAATAATTTTTGTTCTACTTTTTAGTTTGGAAGTGTTTTTGAGTTTGGTGTGTTTTTTTTTCCCCCCTCCTCTTCTCTTTCTCCTGTCCATCACCATAACCTACGCTTAAAAACACATTTGGGTACCTGAAGCACTCTAATTCTTCCTGTATCCTCAGATCCAAGAAGGTATTTGCCATACTCATGCATCAACTAAAAATCCTTAGCGTCTAAACATTTCTCAAATCCTAAAGCTGACCAGAAGAAAGGAAACTCCCCTCAGTCCTCCTGATGCAACCTGAGATTCTCACACTTTGTGCGTAAATGAACACTAGGGGAAAATCCATGGGAGATACGTGCAGAAATAAACTAGCTTTAAGAATTTGGGCCTGGATGCCTGTACCAGAAGGATGGACAGATTCTGCCTCTGCGTAAGTCTCTGTAGCAAACAGAGAGGTCAGCTGGGGGTCCTACCTGATCCATCTCGCCTATCTTATTCTTCCTTCCTCCCACAGCTGTATGGCTGGAGTGAGCTCCTAGATAATGCCCACAGCATACGATTTTGAACTCATTCAACTGTGAGCATCAGAGCTCTCCTACAAAGAAAGGCAAGATTGGTGGCATGTGAATGAGGTCATTACACTCATGACATGGACAAAAGACAGTTCTGAGAAGCAAATGAAGGCAATTAAAAATGGGTGCAAACAAAGCGCCAGCTACACGTTGCCTCTCAGGCTTTGGTAGTTGAAATAAACAAGACTGGAGCATTTCTAGGAAAAATGTTTGCATATACTGTTTGCTGATTTTCAAATCGAGCTCACAAGGACAACAGCAATAACACTTTTGGAGGAAAGCAGTTTGCAAGGACACAAAAAGAAGCAAAGCTGTTCATCCTCCAAGACCTCTGTCACCCTGCTTGAGCAGCAATGTTCTCCCCACAAAATACCTACAAGAACTCAAAGCCATTTAAAGCGCTTTGGACTGTGTTATTTTAAATTAAAAATATTTTTTTTTTTTAAAAAATCACTGGGATTAACAGGTGAATCTTTATAGTTTTTGTTCCCTAAAGCATTAATGGCATTTCATTCACTGTGAAGAGGTTTCAATCTACTTGTATCACAGCTGCTTCAGTCCAAGGAGGTGCTATGCAGATCACTGCACACCTTCTGGTTGCAGGCTCCCCTCCCGCATGACAAACCAGCAGAGCTGAATCCTGTTGAGTCCCAACAATCTGTGGGGACTAATGGGAATGCTGAGCTCAGTTTGGCACACAGAGTCCAACTGTCACCAAAGAGACAAACCAATCCAACTGTTCCCCAGCTAGTAGTCTGTGTTTTATTTGTGTAAAGAAATTGTATTTATTTAACTATGTATTTAATGTGATCACATGCGCACACAACTTGTCAAAGTAAGAATAACACATCTGATTACTATGGGAACTTATACTTAAAGAAATTCAATACTTAGCTGTGACATTGAAGAAAACTTATAGATTGTGTGCTTGCAGCTAAGAACCTGTTCATTTTTGCCTTACTAGAATCCAAAATCTCCATATGGAGCATGGGTTTATTTACCTCTCTGTAGATATCCATGAGGCAGCAAGATTCCAAAGGCAAGTACTGAGATACAAAGAGCTGCAGGGGGTGGTTTTAAACCCTGATGGTCATGATTCACAGGGAAACTTCCCGTGAGTAAACCATTCTCCACGTACAAACTTCATGGAAGGATTAGCAAAGGTTGCAGTTCTGTGAGGAGCTGAGCCTCACAGAGATAAAAGGTTACCTCTCATCCACCCTCCAGTCCCTTGTATCACATTCAAACGCTTGGCAGAGCCCTCTGAGTGTCAATATAAGTCATTAATCAAGAAAAAGTAAATACTTCTGCCAGGTTAGGAAGTTGAATCAGTTAAAAGTCTTGCATCTTGCTGAAAAGAAGGGCTTCCCCCTTCAGCCATTTGCTTATTTTTTCAATCCAACAGCAACCTAAGCACTCATGAGTTAACGATAGGCCTTTTGGTGTTAGGGTTAAAATAGGGAATTGAAATGCAACTTTATCAGATGAACTAACTGTGCACACAGCACATAATGCTTTTTGAACACAGGAGAGTCACATTTTTAAATTACTAGAGACTCTGGATGAAGTATTTAAACCTAACTATTTAAGACAGCTCAAAAGGAGAAAAAAAGATTGAATTATCAGTTTAATAAAGATGAAAAGAAAAGTTGAAGACAGAAAATCTGAGGTGCAACAAGAGAAAAATTCTGAAGAATCCTTCCTACCACAAACGACACTCACAATTTGAGCACAACTTTCTTATCCCTAGATCCCTTCAAATGACCCCTGCACAAAAAACTTCAGCTCACAAAGTTTTGATCCTACAAGGAAGTACAAGCAAGGAATTCTATGAAGCTCAGTAGGGACTTCCCATAGATCTCAAATGAAAGACATTCTTTATTAAGGCAAAATACAGCAATATTAAAGGGGGGGGGGGCAGCAGCACTGGAACCAGTTTAAATTAAAAACAGATTTTTTGTTGTTATTATATTGTATGCATTATTTCATACTCATAAAACTGACCAAAAAGCAGCTGCATACTAGTTGTATAGAAGGACTAACCTTAAAAAAATATATTATTATTATTCAGTTTGTCTATCTTCAGGAGGTTCGAGCTCTAACCTTTGCTAGACCCACCTGGAGACAGAATTGGGTTCTCTGTAAAAGATGGTCTCTAAGGACTGTCAGTAATGCTGACAACCTTTAGTCACCTGAAGCTGAGCATTATTGGACAGTTTCAGACATGCAGTTGGACTACACGTTGGAATTTCCTGCAACTTCAGCATCTTTCTTTTACTCCAGTTGGAGGGTGGGTACAAACCTGTATCTAGATGTCAGATTCCACATTTCTAATATTCCATACTAAACCTTACCTCTCCTATTAACTTCTTAGAGCACTAATAAGGGAATAGGGCTCCTTTTGCTCTGATTTCCAACTTATTAATAGTATTATGTGCTAGTACTTATTCAAACAGAAGGTCCATCAAGCCCAAAGAATATCAAGGTTTTTAAAAAGACAGGCTTCTGAAACACAGCACCAACCTGATACAAAACAAGCATATTCTACCCATTTAGATAACTCAAATAACACTATACCCAACAGAAAATAGCTTAAAAAGCAGAAGAGATGCTAAGGCTTTTTTCTACATCTTCAGTAACAGACAAGAAGCTAAACTACTTGTCGAAGTGTACACAGTTCTACTCTGACTTCCAAAGGAGAAAGCAGTGTCATCTTTAGGCTGACTAAGCAAATGGACCCTAAATCATCTACTTTTTTTTCTGTTGTTGTTACATACGTGTTTGCCATTCTTTACAGTAAATACTTCTAATTTTTTAAGATGGTTTCAGTATTGCATTTTCATTCTCCTTCTGCCAAAAACTATGTAAAACTCAGAATGAACGTGCAACACACTGATTTCCCATGCCCATTCATCACACTGCTCAAGTTCAGTGATGCAAATGTATTTCCCACTCGTTATCTGAAAGAAGCTCAACTCTGCCTCCTGCAGCAGCAATAAAATTAGCGACCGAATTCTGACTGCAGAACTTCTATGGATGACAGCAAAAAAAATTTCAGATTTTAGTTAGTCCTGCACTATTGTGTTTTGACAATGCATCTTTTGTCCCTAAACATCATTAGCGGTTATTAAATACAGCTGTCCAAAGACAATGTTCAGCTCTAGAAATATACAGCCACTTTGTGTGTGACCTATTTTTTGTGATTACTAGTAGGGACAGAGTCCTGCCTCAGTACAGGAACAAACTACTCCTCCCTAACCCCCTGCCATCACCACTAACAGAACACTGAACAATAAAGACCTATAATCGGATCCAGAAGTAAAGTAAGTAAAGGAGAAACATAATTTGAAATAAGAATTAAGGACTTTATGAATCCACAACAAAATATAAGTGTTGGGATTGTTTCTACTATTCTCAAAGGCAGTATTGAAATGAAAGGAAGATATTTCCTTATCACATGGGGATAATATTGTTTAGTTGTGGTTCTAAAATCATATTAAATGGACCTAAAAAGCCTCTTCAAGTATTTTTTTTCTTGTGAATATCACCTAAATAAGTACTAGATCACATCAGTCAACAGGTAGAACTTATCGTGTGCTTTGGTATACATTTTGCTTCATCCAGAGCCTATGTTGCAGAACAGTTCTGAAGTAAGCCTATACATGCTCCGTGTCCTGTTTTATCAACTGAATCAGGGGAAAACAAACAAACAGAAAAATAAAACCACAACCCTACGAAGGTGTTTTCAAATACTGATGGAAGCTTTGTAGACTCAGGACAGCATCACCCGCTTATTACCTGATCACGATCGCCCGCAAAACAGCAACTCTTCATGGTACACGAGTTAAAGTACCCTTGGTTGTCGAACTGGAAGACAGGCAGTCGGCAGTGGATATCGTAGAGGACGGGGGGAAGGCGACGACGCAGGGCCAGCAGCTGGGTTCCATTGCTGTTGAAGCGGACACTCATGGCACTCTGAAGGGAGAGGTTTCCACCATAGCGCAGCAACGAACTGGGAAAAGACAGAGGAAATATGTCAGACGGGCTACACGGATTAACTGAACTGCTAAAAAACAGAATTCTAATGTTACCAAGTAATTTCAAGCTGACAAGCCCATAAATTCTATTCTTGTATAGTTTCTGCTTCGAAGCATCAATCCCTGAACAAACTTCATTCAAAGCCTAGATGACAAACTATCAAAATGATAAGACTATAAAGTCTCAGAATAGTGAAGCTAAGATTGTGAAGAGTTTTGTTAATAACAAATACATTTCCTGCCTGGGAGCGAAGTTCCACAGAGTAACTGTAAGCCTTTAAAAGGCTATTCTTGTACTTCTGGGACGTTGGCATCTAAAACCAACTCTACTCAGCTCTTTTTGTTCAGCTGGTACCCTAAACCAGCCAAGCCAAACTTTGTCTCTCTGCTCTGGCAATGGATGGCATTTTCTCCAAGCATAGATACTCCGACCATTATCTTACTTCCACTTCTATTTACAGCTCTACAAAACATCAAAGAATGTTTGAACTCTAAAATCAGTTCCAGCTGTCTTAAATAAAAGGCCACCTTACTAACAAGTTATTGCAAGAAATGCTAAAATAAGACACTTAGCTAATCTCAGACTTGCTCCATGTACAAATATTGCCAAATAGGCAGGACAATTATGCTAACAGATGACACTATCACCTAAAAATCTCACATGGTTGAAATAGCTGGTTTCCTTATCCCATATAAGGTTGTATGACCAGAGCTGGAGTATCTGTATCAGTTCTTACTGACATACACAGCATAAAAATAAAGGGTCATAGTTTTCCATACTCTTTTTAGAACAGTAACAGAATATGGAATTTGACCCATCTGTGAGCTTCATGATGATCAAAGCACACCTGATATTTAACATGCATTCTAGAGGCTTTCTTGTCTTTTCAAAGACTTAATCCTTGTATTTGAAATCATCATGTGTATGGAGAGGGAGACAAACAAGGAGGATATTTTATCTGTGTTTTTTTTTCTTTATTATTTTTTTTTATTTTTCCCCACACACAGACCACTGAAGCTTCCTTAAACCGTACTGGAACCAGACCTTTTATAAACAGGTTTTGAGCAGCCTCCATCAAATCTTGTGTAAAGAGCTGTGACTTTTATGCACCTTCTGGACCAGACAAGGCACGCCAGCACATAATTTGTAGATTCTAGAAGGAAGTTCATTCACTGGTTTTAATGCTTCAGATTTTCTGATGTAGCCCTCTGCCTCAACATTTGTGAAAAATGAGTCACTCCGCGTGTATGGGAAGCCACATTCCACACAGGTTGAAGCATGCATCACTACAGGAGATACTGTAAAGTTAAAAACCTATTGTTCCTAAGCCAGAGTTAAACAAAACCAAAAACAAAACAGGAGACTAGACTCCACATAACGAACGCCCTAGAAATACGCTGCTCCCACGCGCACAAGCTTTGTGAGCTGAAGAGTCAAAGCCAAGGTGCCACGAAAGAACCAGAAGCCACATTTTCAAAACCAGCTCCAAAGAGCTACAGGCTGGGCACCAAAAACTCTTAGCACATTTTACTGTGTTGTTTTTGAGCATTTAGGTGTGTAGCTTCTTAATCAATCTAGATTTTGGCTTTGTGGAAACTGATTTCAAGTAAGATGTAAAAGAGCATTATACAAGACAGCTGTGCCAGCCTGCCAGCTTCTTCAGCTTCTTGCACCTCCTTCCTCTTGTCCCCTAATCAGTCACTTGTGTCCATTGGTTATCTTGCTTATCAACAAACAAAAACCAACCTGCCCCCTCCACCCCACCCCACCACCACAAAAATATAAACTAAAATACAGCAGAAGAAATAAACCCGCAATTTTTTGGTTGAGAAAGGTCAGTTTTTCTATTTAAATACGAGTTTTCCACCACATGAGAATGCCACGATGCACATGGACCAACTTGATTTGATGGTAAGATGCAGGCCAGTGCTGCACCAAGACTAAGCCCCCTTCCCCATTACCAGTTCTCTTCCTGGGCCTGAACTGCAGCCCAGATCCTCTCCTGCCTGCAAGTGAGCATACCAGACACCCCATCCTTTCAGATCTCCAAGCAAAGTTTCCATGGTTACTATTATTATGCCCTGCCTGAAATATTTTGAGATTATGTTTTATAGTAATAGTAGTATAACATTAAACTAGCTTCCGTTCTGCTTACAGGTGTTTTCACTGGGCTCCTATGGCAGTCAAAGCTATCAAACAAAACACTTATTAGAGTTGAATTCTGTAGCCTGTTTCAGTAACTTTAGTGAAACAAAGCTCTAAAAGGGTATTCTACTTATTAAATGAAGAAAAAGTAGAACTTCAGAAATTATGACCATGCACACAGATTAGAAGTCTAATATTAAGAAGCTGCATAGTTGAGCACCTCTCAAAAGCCTCACAGATTTGCCTGCTTCATATCTCTACTCCGTACCGTTCAGCCACACTTGAAATGGAAATACAGTTTGTGCTGTTCTTGACCATGACATTTCGCTCAAAGAAAAAATAATAAATAAAAATACCAGCAAAAAAAGTGGGCTAAATTTGGCTGAAGGAGGAAGAAAGGCTACAATAGACATTTACCGTTCATATAGACTAGTGACCTATTCTATAAAGCATTTACCTTTTACAAACTATGAAAAGAGACATTGGGTAGTTAGGTGAGGGTGACAGAAAAACTGACAAAGCTCCCCAAGCATCTATTTCCTGATGGAAAGGACAAGGACAACAGGGAAGACGAAGACAACAGTAGTGTGAGGAGAGGAAAATTGTGCTTACGCCTGCTCAGCGTTAAAATGACTGCCCCCACTTTTCAGACTGCATCATGATGCTGCTCTGTACCTTCAGTCATTGCTACTTTAGGATTTTTTTCAGACAGGATTATGTGGGGCACTGCAGACATGCTTGGATGTGTTGCCCATGTTACAGCTGTCACTTCTGCCAGCTCCTTACTTCATGCTCCAGCAAACAAATTTCAGAATCACCACCTTGCGGTTCCTACAGCTTTACTGACGTGGCAGACTAAGACCAATACTCCCATCTCAAGCACCCAGACCACGACAGCCGAGGAGAAATCCAAGGGGGAACCCAAAAGGACATGCCTGAGCAAGATGGGCAGCACCCGCTTTTTGCCACAGGCATTATCATCATGCACCCAGACCCAGACTACGCCAGGAGTCAGACTGCTTCCAAACTTGGCTTGCCCAGGCAGCCGGGGAATGCTGGGGCTGCCTACCAGCTCTGGGAGCAACAGAGCCATACCCACTCCTGAGTTAAAAAAAAAAAAAAGTCATCTTGTATGATTAAGAGAAATATTTAGTCCACAGATGGAACATTACATCCAAACACACATGCTGGCGCTGGAGGGAGTAAATGGACAGTTATGTGCAATATGGTCATTTCCGTAGTTGGATATGCTGCATTCAGGCAGCGCTTGAGTGGTAGCTAAATACCAGCTCAGGCAAACAATGGAAGGCTTTCAATCCAAGAGCAGCACCACTAAAGTAAATAAATCCGCTTCTGCTGGCAGCTAGCAGGGTGAGGGAAGGAGTCGTCTCACTGCAGTCAGAATTTGCACCACTGAATTGCTTCCTCTGCAGGAAAAGACCATACCTGCAACAAATGTTTCCCTCCTGTTCCCTGCTATCTGAAGAAAAAAAGGTTGTTTCATCCTTTTTAGAAAAGTCAGCTGCCTGACTGGTAACATACGCTTAACCCAGACTACTCCCCAGTTTGCTTGACAGCAGACAGTGAGCACTAGAACTGAGAGAAGATCAGTGTCCTGGCAGAAGTAAAATAAAAGAGGCGTGTGTGACAGCATTAAATAGGAACATTTGAATAGTTTCTCTCGATAAGCTGTAAATCTGACAGTGAACTGCAGTACAGATACTGTCCTTGGGAAATGAGAGTCATTTAAGAGGGATAAGGAAGGAAGGAAGTGAGAAAGTACTGGTATCATAAACAGCAGTGTGTGAAACCAACATAAGGAAAGAATGACCTTAAAAGGGAAAAATGAATTGACTGCTTGTAACTAATACATGCGATTGCATACAGCCCTGTTTGTCAGCAGTTCTGTAACCACTAAATTGAGGAACTTCTAACTGTGCAAAAAGAACTGGCATAAAACTTGGCAAACAGAAATCTTGGCCTGGAAAACCACAGAAAAGTTTATTTATTTATTTATTTTTTTAAGAAAGTAATTCTGTGCATGTAAAAACACACAGCTCTTATTCAGTCTGGAGCAAACACTTCAGAAGAGCCAAATTTACCAATGATAGAAAAGAAGGCAAGGTATCAATTAACATATATGCTTTTTTTTTTTTTCCTGTTTTAAAGGAGATTAAAATTCTTACAGAAATCTCACAGTATCTTCTTTAAAAAGCAGCACAGTTGTGTAAAAAAGTGCCTGGAATTTCTCTTTAAGTATTGAGAAGTGTTAACAAATCTAAATTAAGTCCATCAGTGTCTTACAAAAAAGAATACACAAGACATAGCCAACATTTTATTATTTCATAGTAATATGCTCCTCTTTCTAAATTGTCATCACTATTTGATTATCTCACTACTTGTACAAAAAATCTTCTGTAGATGAACGACATCCCTCAGAACATTAGATGGAAAATAAAGGGTATTTGTTTGAACTTCAAAGAACAACCAAGTGAAGGCTGTGTATTGTTAGCAAAATTAAGAACCTTTGCTTTCCTTTGCAGAGGACAAACAAGTAAAATCACCTGCATACAACAAGACTGGAAAAGTAGGGAGTTCAGGGTGAAAATCCTGTAGTAGTTGTTTGTAGTAGTTCAGGGTGAAAATTCTGTATGTTCAAAGAACACGGCACTCTTTCTCACCTTTACTGTTAGGCTCAGGAACATGCACGTTAGAAGAAAGATCAATTCCCAACATCAATAATCTTTTGTGCTTGACAAACTCTGAAGTGAACAGAAGCTTGATCTTTCCCTCCAAGCCAGGAAGGCTATATTATATATATATTTTTAT